ATGTTGCCTGGTCTGATGAGTCTCGATTTCTGTTGAGACATTCAGATGTTAGAGTCAGAATTTGGCGTAAACAGAATGAGAACATGGAACCATCATGCCTTGTTACCACTGTGCAGGCTGGTGGTGGTGGTGTAATGGTGTGGGGGATGTTTTCCTGGCACACTTTAGGCCCCTTAGTGCCAATTGGGCATCGTTTAAATGCCACGGCCTACCTGAGCATTGTTTCTGACCATGTCCATCCCTTTATGGCCACCATGTACCCATCCTCTGATGGCTACTTCCACCATGTCACAAAGCTCTAATCATTTCAAATTGGTTTCTTGAACATGACAAAGAGTTCACTGTACTAAAATGGCCTCCACCGTCACCAGATCTCAACCCAATAGAGCATTTTTGGGATGTGGTGGAACGGGAGATTCGCATCATGGATGTGCAGCCGACAAATCTGCGGCAACTGTGTGATGCCATCATGTCAATATGGACCAAACTCCCTGAGGAATGCTTCCAGCACCTTGTTGAATCTATGCCACGAAGAATTGAGGCAGTTCTGAAGGCAAAAGGGGGTCCAACCCGTTACTAGCATGGGGTACCTAATAAAGTGGCCGGTGAGTGTATAATAATATCATCTTTTTTGAATGATATTAAATTTAGTTGCAAAGTCATTGATGAAATATAATATCTATGTGAAAATTTGAACCCAGTTTTTTTTCATAGGCTACATATGTTTTAGTATTCAAGTTTATCATTCATGGTTAGTGAATTAGACCCATGTTGTTTTAATGGTACAACTTTTGGCCCTCTAGCAGTTAAAAATCAAAACTGCATGCATTTTGCGGAAGAATTTTTTGGTTGTGCGTGACTGTGCGGATGAATATGGTTATTCAACTGCTCATAAAACATTCAAGGGTTAAGATATATAGATGGTAAGGATCTTAAGCTGACTAGCTGAAGATGTTACTGTAGGTATAATAGACATGGTACTTCTTCCTTGGAAATAAATTCCAGCACAGCGCTACAACACCCATAATGAAATGACCCTTCACACTAGATAATGCTTTACAGTTAACTCTGTTAGAGAGCTACAAATAGCGATTTATCAGATTTTTCAGTAAAATACCTTACTCACCTGCTGAGTAATTAAAAAAAAGCCATCTCCGAGTCACTTTTATATTTCAAATCCCTCAGTTCTCACCATCTCTCGAAAAGCCAAGCCAATGTTGATTCTTGTTTTATTACAAGCTCTGTCACACTCTCTTTTTTCCAACAGACTTTTGTCTGTTCTGGTGTGATTAAACCTTTCTCGCTCACTGTGAAAGACAACTAACCTATGCCACTCCCACACAATATACATGCGTCAAAGTAGCCGGAGCAACTTTTCTCTATTTTCGGATATGACGAAACATACACTGGCTAATGATGTATGTACGCTATTTCCAGTGAAATCCATCATGTTAGGTAAAAAAAAAAAAAAACACTTATAATAAGCTTACCACAGTGTATCAGGTGTATGCTTATTATACCTTTAATTGTAAGGTACATACCATTAATAATTAAAAGGTACTACCACAGTACACCTTTAATTATTCAATCTTTGAATCTGACTAATTTAATTCTAATTCAAATCGACTGACAGCCCTATGATATAGAATCATGAATTAATCTGCAATCATGTCTATGGCAATATTGCATATGTATACGTAATTTGGCAATTATGTTTTGGAACTATAAAAACAGAGTGGTTAAACCAGTAATTGTTCAATTTCGCAAGAAAAGGGAATACCTTTAATCAAGAATCAAGTCGACCACCAGATGTGATCTAAAACTCCTGCTGGGAGATAAGTCTGCTGTTAAAGAAAAACAATTGAGACATAAAACGCCCAGCTGAACACTATCTGCCTTTTAATTGGTGGTTCAGAGGGCCGGAGAACAAACTCCCTCGGGAAACAGCAGCACTTCAAGAAGTTTGTCCTTCTAGTGAAGATCAGAGTGTAAGAGTCAAAATACAACAGCCATGCCATATTCAAATTCATATGCATAATCACATAAGTAATGATCTTTAAAAATAAGACTAAAGCCAGTTCAGCATTAAGGACAGATGTCTTAGATCAGTGCTGCAGACAGACGTCTTTCTGGAAAAGAGCAAAAGTCGGATTGGTGTTAGTTTTTTTTTCTCAATATATAATAGACTCAGGGTGTGTAAGAACTCAATAAAAATAAGAACGGTTTCTAAAAGTCACTGAAAAGTCAGAAGTTTGTTTTTTTATTATGCAGCCTCCCTTCCGGCATTTTTTCTTTTTAAACTCAGACTTCATTTCTTGACTAGTCTGTGAAGAGAGAGCGTGAACAAATGCTGTGAATGGAGAACAGATTTAAAGTATGATTGCATTTCATCAAAAGATCTTGGGAATATTTAGCATTTTATTTAAACTCAGTTTAATTTTGTGATCAGTTACTTTTCAAGAGATCAGAATATTTTTTTTCTACAAATTCTCTGAATAATCTTGAAGAACAAGTACCAAATGTCTTAAAGTCCCCCTGTGGTGAAAATCATGTTTATGTCTTATATGTGGTATTTTTAATATGCTTCAAGACAAACCTTGTGCAAATTCATAAGTCAAGACCAACCAAAGACAGTCTCAAAAACGCAGTTTAAAATCGCTGTCACAAACTACCTTGTAATCATTTAGGTCAACGTGTGATCGTCAACGAGTCTCTGAACTCGAGCTGGTGTGAGTGAGTGAAGGCGGGGATAATTAGCATATTCATAGAACCGCGTATACTAAACGAGGCAAGGGTGTAGAGTTACATTCAAGCTATTTTAAGGCATGATGATTTTTTTTACAGGGAAAAAACATTTAAATGTCATTTTGGTGATCAAAAGTGAGTTTTAAGGGATACAATGATTGACTAGGGGGACTTTAATATGAATATTGCCAATAATACTATCATCTTAACACTTTACAATGAGGTCTCATTTGTTAATGCATGAACTAACAATGATATATTGCTCATTGTTAGTTCATGCATTAACAAATGAGACCTCGTACAGCATTTATTAACCTTTGTTAATGTTAGTTTATAAAAATGTTATTTCACAGTGCATTAACAATTATAGATACGATGTTGGATCTTGAAAAACATTTTAGTAAATGTTGAGTTTAACATAAACTAAATTAATATATATTTTAGAAAGTATTGTTCTCATTGTTAGTTCATAATTAATGTTAAATAAAACCTTATTTTAAAGTGTTACAACTATCTCAATGCAAATATACTGTAAAGTCTCATATAGGATTTACAGTATATAAAACTATTTGTGTTTCTTCCACTGGCAAGTTTTTCCAGTAGGCTACAGAAAAAGGTAAAAATGGGTCTATAAATATCAGTGCAATGATGGAGAATAGAAATAGTATGGCATCCCACTGAGTTTCTCATTTTTTTTTCACGTTCTCTGGAATTTAAAATGAGTTGCAATGTGGAGCACAATACACTCCACTGCCTTAACCGAAACTGTCAGGTGACTGCTGAAAAGATAATGTGAATATCAGTCTGTATTGGCTTTATCATCTGATAAAACAGTATTAAATATTTATATTCATATTGATATTACTCCTCTGCTGAGCCAATTAGTTTTATGCATTTGTGAAATAGGCCTCATTATAATGTGGTCGAAAAAATGCTAAACTCTAATGGACGTTTTATAGACCCACAGGAAATTGTGGGACTTCCTAATGCAGGGGTAAAAAAGTTCTTTTTAATAAAGAAAGAAAAACCAACAACAAAAACCTATTGTAAGTCATACGGACCACTTTTATGATTTTTTTTTTCTCGTTTTGTTCCACAGGAGTCTTATAGGTCTAAAAGACAGAGTGTGTAAACAGTTGCAGATATTTTGGGGGTAAACTATTCATTTTAAGGGGTTAAATATTTGGGAGTGTTATAGGCAATAAAATGTTGAGAAAGTGTAGAAAAAAATAACAATTTAAATGATCTAATTAGGTTTGTAATTGAAACTCTAAACTCCAAAAAACATCAAAACTGAAAAGCAATTTAAACTTTATGATTTCAGATCTATTGCAAGACTATGTTGTAGGCAAATATTCATAAGAGATGCACTGGGCGTGATGTGAGGAAACAGCAGTAGTAAATCCCAGTGGGTGATCAATTCCCAGAGTTGAATTGATGGTGGTGAGAATGCATTTAAATTCCCAGTGCCCTAGCAGACAGGGAGGCTTGACACAGAAATGACGGGAGAGGAAATTGCAGAGAGGAGTTGGAATCGTCCCCTCCTAGCTCCTGTGCCCTTGATCTTGATTGAAAATGCCAAAGGACAGCATTCAAAGTCATCAAGTGAGAAGGGCTGCCCGTAAATTAATGTGAACGCAACCGCATTCGGGCTTGTCACAATCATCAGCAAATGACCTCATTATTATAACCCCCGTGAATTCGGGCTGAATTCCGACAAAATTGCTCTGTGTCGCACATGGCTCCTTTCTGTTCTGTTGTTTACATTTTATGGATGTAGAATTGCGGCTTCATTCCAGTTGATTTATTGTTTTGTTCTAGATTTAATATAAAATATTTCCTCTCATTGACAATGAATGTTACAATCGTTTACATAGGTTCATATTCAGAGCTCTACAGTTTGTACAACTAAACTTGACACAACAAGATATTACCAGGAGAGTCTGGACAAATTAATGTTTCCAAAAGTACATCACTATATAAGAAAATGGGATTTCTGATATACAAATACCACGTAAAGGATGGCAAAAGAATCAGACATTCATGCTGTTGAGCAATCTGTGGCTCACATTGTGAAATATTGCAAGTAAGATCTAACTTTCAGAGCAGCTATGAGAAGATGAGTAAAATAACAAAAATCGTTCTGTTTGTAATGGCGTTGCATCATCAAGTCTTTATGTGTCATCAGTCCTACGGCAATTCAAACCGCAGTTTATGGTGAAGTAAAGGCAACATGTCTTATTAACATTTGGGAAAAGAACCATGAGTGCGTAGAAAATAACAATACTTTCGTTTATCCATACTGTATGTCCATTAGGAATCATCTTCGGTTTTGATGACATGGAAAAGCGTGACGTTGAAAATGACCTGATGTCCATTGTTCCAGGCGTAAAGCGCCCGTTCTTGAGCGTTGTAGTCAAGCATGGAAATGTGAAAGTACTGGTTGTGGAATGGGATGTCCATGTACTCATACGTCGAGGTCTTTGTGTTGTAGGAATAATACACCTTGGCTCCGGTCAGATGGGAATTGGTGATGTACAGCGTGCCGCAGATCATGAAAGAGTCTCCTGCGTTCCTTTTGGAGTATTCCGTGTTCCACGTCTGGAGAACCTCCAGCGTCTGCGGTTCTAACTGAGAAATCACAATGTTTCCTGCATTCTGATTGGTGGCGTATACAGCCCACAAACCCAGCTCGTCCGCCATCAGGTCGATGTCCGAGAAGCCTCCCCAGGTGTAGGGGTAGACGTTGTGGAAGCCGGCGTACTCCAGGGCACGCTGGGCAAGAACCCGTCCGGTCTCGAAGCTGTATTTGACGATGATGTTGCTCTGCTCCTTGTTGTAGTACAGAGAGCCGTTATAGACCACATGGTTGGTTCCAGCCCATTTAAAGGGAAGGTAATAGGTTCGCGATTCCTGACCGGAGATGAAGTCTTCAATACTTTTATACTCTCGAACCACCTTGCTGTTGGTGTAAGTGTCCATATACCAAATCTGTGGGGAAAAGACAGAGTGAGATTGAAGTATGTAGATGAGTGGCTCACTAAATTATTTTACACCTGGTGGAAACCGGTTGTTAGCAATCCTGGGAAGGAAGAAGATTAATCAGGTATATGTCAGAACATTAATCAGCTTGAAGAACATAGCGCCGCCCCCCTCCAGAACTCACCCGGTTATTTCTTGGAGATGCTAGAGGGTCGGTCATCCATGCGCCAAACCGCGTCCCAGATGTCTTTATCGTCACAGGGCCGGTGATTTTCATTAATTTCCCACATGCTATGAAAAATCCAAATGAATATTCTTTATTTTTAACATCATCTCTTTTTCAAATGGCTGGTTTCCTAGAAGCAATTTCATTCCTTCTAAAGACTTGCTTTCGGTGCATGTAAAAAAACAACAGCAACTTTTAATGCTGTACTAGCTTAGTGCATCCAAACCCCAACGCTAGGATGCAATATCAGAGCTATTAATAACATATTAGAACATCTGTTGAATTTGCCTAATCAACTCATTCATATTGTAAGGCTTTTCAACACCTAATCATCAGAATCACAGGTGTTCTATGAAGATTGTTGAAAACACATTGTTATATAATTGCCTTGCTTGACGTTCACTAAGAGTAATTGAATATCCGATCTGGACCAACTGTAGCTGGAGGGTCAAATCTGAGTTTTGATGTTTTGCTTTGGGCAAGATATTTTTATTTTTAATTGAAACATTACTTTGTAACCTTCTTTTACAGGCTGTACTATAATACACTTTAAGCAAAATTAATTTCAGTAAATATTAATACATACTGTGCCATAAATCAAGGGGGGAGGAACAACTGGATGTTCACATTGACTACTGTTCAAAAATGTAGGGTCAATAAGATTTTTATATTTTTTTTAAAAGAAGGGATTACTTTTATTCAGCAAAGGTGAATTTTAAATCTCTTTCCTATTTCAAATAAACACTGTTATTTTGAACTTTCTCAGCAAAGAAACCTGAAAAAATGTGTCATGGTTTCCACAAAAATATTAAGCAGCACTGATAATAAGAAATGTTTCTTGAGCAGCAAATCAGCATATTAGAATGATCTCTGAAGAATCATGTGACACTGAAGACTGGAGTAATGATGCTGAAAATTCAGCTTTGCATCACAGAAATATACATTTTAAGACAGTGCAACTACAGTTCAATCCTTGCATTGTTATTTTTCTTCACCTCCAAATAGCTGTTGCAAAAACACATATTTTGTAAACACCCCCTAAGAAACTCATTGGGACAGTTGAGCCTGAAACCTAGTTCATCATGTTGGTTAACCCAGAGCCATAGAGAGAAAGAGTTGCGACACGCTTTGATGTCGCCGCGACGGCTGTCACGTGGTTCATGTAAGCCCCAATAGTTCCAAAACATACGCGGGCTGTCATGTTCTTCTATGGACAGACAGCAGCGATTGCATTATTAAACGGTAAATATATAATAAAACACACACCCAAGTACTTTTTAAGCTGTTATTGCATTTTGTTAATGTCAGTTTTGCATTTGGAGAGGCAGGGTGACAACTTAGATAAGTTTTAGGCTATATTTTTGGAGGGAAAAGCTTAGTGTTCATGTTCGCATGGGTAGTACGTTAGCACTGGCTTTAGCGGCTCTAACTTAACTTTTCCATGTCATTCATCTGATGATGGACGTCTCATTATATTTATTGTAGCACAACTGGGCTGTATTAGGCTATCGATTCCCGTGATCTTGCTTATAAATTCCGATTCAGCCATTAGCCTTCGTGATCACGCAAAGAGGTCTGCGGTCCGTTCAGAACTCCAACCAACATAAAATATAAATAATTACGCTGTGCATGTACAAATGAATGATTTAGGAGGGAAATAGACTGCTCCCATAATGAGAAAGCAACGACTATATACAACAATGTTCAGTAAATATTCTACCGAAAAATATTCTTCATAAAATTAAACCGGAGAGATAGTTAATGAGTGAATTTAACTATGTTCCTAAATACATATAAGCACATATATGCATAACCCTAACCCATTTAAATAAATGAATTGTGTGTGTGTGTGTGTGTGTGTGTGTGTGTATGTATATAATATTATATATAGGCTATATATATATATATATATATATATATATACATACATATATATAATATTATTAAAAATATTACATATTATATACATCAAGTTACCGTAAGTTAGCTAACGTTAGTGAAGTGTTGGTCACGTAAGCTATCGCTGCAATTAACCTATTATCTTCCAATAAACATTTACTAAAACTGGCTACATAAAATATAACTATAGACTAGATTCACGAGAGGTCGGCTAATGTTTGTAAAAGTAAAAAAATACAGTAATTTCATTAATTTACCAGCGAGCGTACTTCGGAAGCACTGAAAATGAATGGGGTTCAATGCTGAAACTATCAGTGTTTGGAACTATTGGCCGCTCCACGACACGCGTTACTTCCGCATTCCAAAGTTCCTATGGCGGCCTATGGGAGTGTCGCAACTCTTCATCCAATCATAGCAGAGGTTAGTTACAGATAGAATTTTTAAAGATACAGTAGCAAACACAACCCATTTAATTCTAATGTAATGTAAAATGATATGAAACAGTGGAATATGCCCTCTTTAAAATGCTTGAACTGTGAATGTAAAAAGTGCAGTCAATTCCATCAGTACTTCTACTTACTGAGTTTGCTCATGCAGTTTCGTAGACGGCTATCCAGGCTGAGGACTCTCTGATAGAGCTGCTCATAGTCATAAGCTCCCAGCTCTTCCTGGATGCCCGTCAGCACAGCAGAAAGATTCCTGATTTCCTCTTTGAACTGAGAGATCAGCTTAGCATCTGTTTTGTACTGCTCCAGCACAGGAATCAATGGCTGGAGTTCATCCATACGATCGTTCAGCTCCTGTAGAGAGAGACACACACACATAGACACACGCACACACACAGGCTGTTATGCTTTAGACGTTGGTCCCAATAAACAATGTTTAGTCGTGAAATGCATGTAGTTCTATTATAGGCCTGCATATGTTTAGCGTTTTGACTTAACACATACAATATTCATGCCTAAAGCTGATGTTTGCATTTCCAAGCAGCAGATCTATTGTAACATAATAAAAAAACATACCTTAAAGTTTCTAGCCATTATCGTTTTCCTGTCTTCTTCAATTTGCCGGAACTTGGTCCGTAACCCTTTCATTTGATTTTCCATTTTCATGACATACTGGAAATCGCGCTGCGTGCGCAGATTCAGGACTTCGATGGACTGAGACATGTTCTGCACCTGCGTCACACAAGCACAAGTTAAGAAGTAGGACTAAACTAGGGGTGGTTCTCATATAAAAACAAAACAAAAACAGCACAACTATTTTCAATATTTGATAATAATAAGAAATGTTTCTTGAGCAGCAAATCAGCATATTAGAATGATTTCTGAAGGATCATGTGACACTGAAGACTGGAGTAATGATGCTGAAAATTCAGCTTTGCATCACATGAATAAATTACATGTAAAAAAAAATATTATTGAACAAATAAATGCAGCCTTGTTGAGCATTAGAGACAAAATCTTTTTTTTTAAATCCCCAAACTTTTGAGCAATATTGTAGATGTAAAATAAACCTTGAGAAAAAAACTTTTGCATCATGCAGTAAACAAAAAATCCATAGACAATTCATATCTATAATACTTTTTTGTTTGTTTTGCTCCTTTTGACCAGCCACTAGTCACCATGGACATTCGTTTTATAGAAAACAATACATTGCTTGAGCGACATGAGGGTGAGTAGATAAATGTATTACTGTGTGAACTATCCCTTCAACCTTAGCGGGTGAGAAGCACTTTCCAAAGATACATTTCTTTGCATATGTTATGGATAAACTGACTACAATTAATTCATTTTTAATTCTACCATTAATTCTGATAAAAAATAAGATAAAAAGCAGTCACTCCAATCTCATGGTGTTTGTCCCCATCAAACTGTCTGATTAGCTGCTTTGACTAGGGTGTGAGAAAAGTGGAAATCCGTAAATCATGAATGAGATGTAGGCCTGGGATTTCTTTTCAGGCTATAGGGAAAATGGAGGCGTTAATAAATGTACATATAAATATTAACGGCAGTCAGGCTCCCGCTGAATTGAGGCATGTATCATTTATCATAAAATCAGGTATTAATGACCTGCATAAAATCAGCCTCTTGTGAATGCAATGGAAGCACCCATGAGTGCTATTGCTTTTTACTTGTGTGTGTGTGTGTGTGTGTGTGTGTGTGTGTGTGTGTGTGTGTGTGTGTGTGTGTGTGTGTGTGTGTGTGTGTGTGTGTGTGTGTGTGTGTGTGTGTGTGTGTGTGTGTGTGTGTGTGTGTGTGTGTGTGTGTGTGTGTGTGTGTGTGTGTGTTTAAAGGTCCTAAGTGGGAATGAGAGTGATAAAAGAGGATAAAAACGATGGGGGAGGGAAATATGTAATGTGTGATTGAGAGACCGAGAGAAATAAAGTGCAAGAGGACAAGTGTGTGTGTTTATGTCAGTATTAGCGGTTAGCTGTACAGTACTGTAGCTCCTGAAATGTGAATCCCTGAGGCAAAACAGTACATTAGTTGTCCACACAATATACACTAGCCAATTGATGTGTGTGTGTGTGTGTGCTGATAGAAAGAACAGAAAGCAAGAAGAAATGCACAGTGAAAAAAACATTGTGACATTATAGGGCTTTGCAGTATTTTGAATATTCACATTATATTCGCAATGCATGTGCTGACAATAGGTAATAGGTATTACTATATAAGAAACATTGTGAATATCATGATTTTAATGCGCCCGTTTATTAGGCCATTACATTTCCGAAAGAGCGTCCGAGTAGGCTAGTTTTGCACCCTTTCATTAGTATGAGAGTATGAGAACATTCAGACAAAGATGTTGTAATAGTATTAAATATCGTCAATATTCAGTTGCAAAAATGAGTTGGCAAGTTTGATTCATTTCCATGAATATATTAAGGGGAAAAAATAAATGTATGTAATATATACTACCTTGAAAAATTTAGGGGTCAGTAAGATTTTTATGCTTTTGAAAGAAGTCTCTTAGTCTTATGCTCACCAAGGCTGCATTTATTTGAAACGGTAATATTGTGAAATATTATTACCATTTAAAATAACTTTCTATTTATATACATTTTAAAATGTAATTTATTCCTGTGATGGAAAAGCTGAATTTTCAGCATCATTACTCCAGTCTTTAGTGTCACATAATCTATCAGAAATCATTTTAATATGCTTATTTGGAGCTCAAGAAATATTTCTTATATATATATTAAAAAATCTGATTGTGCTGCTTAATTTTTTGTGGAAACATGATTCATGGTTTGTGGATTTTTTGAGTAATAGGAACAGTATTCATCTGAAATAGAAATGTTTTTTTTATCATTGTAAAATTATTTACTGCCACTTTTGAATAAAAGTTTTTAAAATCTTACTGACCCCACATTTTTTAATGGTAGAGTATGTACGTATATATATATATAATGTCAGAAAAAGAAAGAAGAGAGATAAAATGTGTGTGTGTATTATACGCGAGACCTTCTCCAGCAGCTGTCGGAGCTGTCTGCTCTTGGCATCCCTGGAGCAGAGGTTTTGTTCCGGTGCGACCACTGTGCAGATACAGCGTCCGTCTGCATCCTGTGCCGAACTATACACCTGCCATCCTTTCTTGGGACCAATTGTCTGTGGACACACACACACGCACACACAAACACTTTAGTACTTAATAATAAACAACCAATATCCTAGTAATATGATTGCTAATAAGCAAAGTTAATAGTGACAATTGGATCCTAAACTAAAGTGTTACCATAATAATAATTAAAATACTACTACTAATAATACTAATTTAGCATTATTATTTAGGGTACACTGGGGCTAAAGGCGCACAGGGGTAAAATGCGCATTTGACTTTATTCTCTTTTAAACCACTAGATGGCACAAAAAACGCTTCTGATGACGCACGTGGAAATTTGGCTGATCCTTGACGCCGTCGCGAAAAATATGTAAAAGTATGGTATTTGAGGTAAAACAGTATATTTATTGAAAATTCATTATTTTATTGATCAAAAGCACAAACTTGTTGAAGTGATTGTAAAGTATTAACGTCAAAAACATTATTTTATAGTATTTGTATAAATAATGTGTGCTTTTTGCCCCATGCTGGAAAGCCTTTTACCACGTGTGTGAGGCAAAAGACCCACCTTGCTACATTTATCATTTATTTTCACAGAAAAATATGTTGCTCCATCAATGTTCAGTAAAAATATGGCATATACATTTTTCGTAGGGTGTGCCTTTAGCCCCGTTGTACCCATGGTTGTACCCTACTTCAGAGCTGTTAACTGTTGTGACCATCTCTGGTAACATGAGATCCAAATCCGTCTGGTTCCTAAATGTATCATTCTGTTAACTGATCGGCTGTTTCAATGAAAAGATCTAAATCAAAAATGGATTTGTTTATGGATTTGACATTGCTACTCATGAAAATGCTAAGGAAAACTAGGGCAGATGTCAAGATTTTCAGTGAATTTCTATCTAGTTGTCACACAAATCTATCAGTATGACTTCAAAAGACTATTTCAGAAGAATATTTCACTTGAGTCATATGGACTGCTTTTATGGTGCTTTTGAGTCCTTTTTGAAGTTTGAAAGCGTTTAATCCATGGAAGAGAAAAAAGCATACAGGTTTAGATTGACATAAGGGTTGATAGTCAATTACAGAATTTTTATTTTGGGGTAAACTGTCCCTTTACTTATTATTGAACACATTTATTTTAATATGCTGTAGATAAAATAGGACTTGCATTTTATCCACTGAGCAAATTCAAAGGAACGCCGTTTTAAAATCTCTTTTGTGTGTTATCATGCAAAGGCCTTGTAAACAGTTAAAGACATGCTTTACCAGTGAAAACTGTCAAGCAGGCGTGCCAATGCAAGTTTGAAGATGAATGAAATAAATCACAGTTTATTTGGACTGAAAAACCCACACGATAAAACCACTTTTATCTATTGGAAATCTGTCTTTTACTGGACCTGAGAGCCCGTGACATCATAAAGTGGGTGTGTCCCTGTCAGTCACAATAATGCCAGTGTTCTCTCGCTCTAATTCACTTGCGCTGTAACTGATCCAATTCCCCAGCTTTGATGTATAATTTGTACAGTCGAGTCTGAGAGTCGTAACTGTGCACTCAACGGATTCAAGCAGGGCTAAAAAAAATAAAAAAAAACAATACAGGGAGAAAGAATTGGGATAGAGAAAAGAACGGATGGAGAAACGATATGGAGGTTTCGAGGATTCACCTGAGAGGACAAACTGATAAGCTTTCCCGTTGAGGACAGAGGCATCCCATGCCATACATGCACGCGCACACACTGAATTTACTGACGCCCTCCTTGACTGCCTCTGCCTCTTTTCTTTTTTCTACCTCTCTGTCACACATTCTTATCTTCCCCCACTCTTCTCCTCTCTATATATTTTGAATTGCGAGTGTGACATTGCTTTTATACAACAGTAACTTACACGAAGTAACACACATTAGTTTTGTTTATTTAATGATCATCTTTCATTTTAAAAAAATTAAATGAATTAAGTGAATGATTGAATTGTCATTCCTGAATGAATGTGTGCTTTTATCGAATCGGCTGAATGAATAATGACTAGCTCATAAAGATGTCCACTTGTTTTGATCCTGAATGAATCTGTGTTTTGAATGAATCAGTTCAGTGAATTGATTGACCGCTCAAAAGGACCTTTCTGAAACCTAAAATGACAAATGGGACACCCTACGGTCTCATGGACTTAACTAAGGACACGCACGCGACAGCCATTGTAAGTCCACAAGACCGAAAGTGCATATGAAAGTGTACCATTCAGGACAGGGCCTGGAACTAGTTTTTCTAAATGAATTGGTGAAATGGTTAGGTGTATAATTCAATGACTCACTCATAAAGGCAGTCATGTTTCGTTCCTGAATGAATCCTTTGTTTTTGAACGAGTTGGTTCAGTGAATGGATACTCGCTCATAAAGATGTTCACTAGTTTCGTTCCTGAATTAATTGGTGTTTTTGAACGAATCAGTTACGTGTATGTTTTATTAACAATGTTTGGGAGGAGCACGTTCAAATGATCAGCTCAATCAGCACAAGAGGAGACCTATATGTGTGTGTATATATATATATATATATATATATATATATATATATATATACTGTGTATATATAGAGTCCATGTGACTGCTATATATATAGCGATTGGAAAGCAGATGGTTCCGTATGCTTTCGAATCGCTCTCGCGGTACTTTAATGCAGTCACTGGTACAAAGAGTGACTGAAAATCCCCACACCAATGCAAAGACTGACAACCTGTCTGGACCAGTAGTGAAATTGCTATTTTGCGTTGCAATATTTTCTGTAATAGAGTAATTTACAATAAATGCAGTGTAAGGTAGTTATGCACATTGTACATTACAACATCAGCAGCATCTCAACAAAGCACAAAATGATTGATTCTTTTACAATCACCCAGAGTGCAACATTCAAGTCCACTTCCATTTATGTTTGTTGATGAAAACAAATCGCACCCACCATCAATCCAGACAGAGAAATACCAAACATATCACTATCACTATAACTGGACAGAGCGTGGAGGAACATACATTGACCACACAGGTACTGATGATCATGTCTTTTAAATGGACTCACATTTCTGTCCTGATGGTGGAAATCATCATATTTTTATGTCCATGTCTGAGATTTGTACCGTGATATTAAATACACAGCAGAGAAAACAGCCCTCCTATCTTCAGTTCTTCTCACTATATTTGGTGCTGTCATGCTTTCAATCAAGTGCTGATTTAAACAACACCTGCTTGAAAATGAAAAGACTGCTCAGAGAAGTTGGGATCATTTTTTTCTTTCTCTTTCTTTCGCTTGCTTTCACTCTTGCTTTCTTGTGCGCCTCTGACCTCTAGACTATATCTCAATATCTGAGTACACTTCTGAAAGAGAACGAGGCATAGAAAGATAAAAGGAATGCTTTCATTCATTATCAGTCACCTTCTCAGCGATAAATCTGTAGAGTAATAAGTGAGGGTGTGGCAGTGTTCGTGCACAGCAGATTTATTATTATATTGTACAAGTATGGTTTATTACATTCATCATATGCACGCGTACTGTGGTTATCAAACATGCAGTGACATTCATTCATGTTGTTTGTAATGTTCAGATTAGAAAATTAGATAGTTAGCAAACATATCTCCTGAGATTTCATAAAGTCAGATAGGCTCTGCATATCTTTTATGAATGTCACATAAAGGTAAAGGTGCCAAAATGGTGTTTCTTCATGGAACCATCAATCTCAATAAATAACCTTTATTCTTAAAGTCCCCATGAATTCAAAATTGACCATAAATTGATCGTTTTGTGGCGAACAATTCATCCATGCAAGTCAATCCACACAAATTTTTTTTTTGGCTTCATAATCTTTAATCAAAATCTGAAATTTCCCCTCCCCTCTGCATTGGAGGACCTTCCCTGATGACGTAGGTTTGACGGTTTGGGTGTCTGCTTAACATCCGTAACCACGCCCCTCCAACTGACCGTAGACAGGCTGAATGAAAACACCTACTTTTCTAGATCCAATCAGGTGCTTGTTGGAAAAAAAAAGCCACGCCCACTATTTTGCCTCATTTAGTATTCCGTTTCTCTCGGAAATACGTCACAACACTGGAGAAAAGTCGTTTGCAACTTCCGGTTCACGGGGACTTTAAGAGTGTATTCTGGGCCAAATGACAAAAAACGAATGTCTTGATATTCACAACACAACATTATAAGAAACATAATGTGAATTGATCAATACATGACTGAATCGGCTTTTCCATTCAAAGTCATTCAAAAACTTGCCATAAAACCGAACACTGAATGCTAAATAAGGTGAAGGTCTGTATTATTATGAAATCCCTGTATTAGAAAGCTGTATCCCGTAGGTGTGTAATGCAATTTGTCACCATAAAAAAAACGCATTTCAGCACGTCAAATTAATCATCATGAATCACTCATCCCACAAGCAACAACAATGTAATTAGAAGCCCATTACACTAACGTCCATTCATTTTCATAGACAAACAGCCCTCTGTCTAAGAGTCTGTGGGGGTTTTGTGTGTATGTACTTTTGGACCTTTGACATTTTGTGGACTTCATATGGTGAGGTCAACATGCCAGTATAGAAGTACTAGCTATGTTATCCAATGGTTAAACAAATTGTTGAGACAAAAAGCAATTGTCTGTCTAGTTCATGCAGACATACTGAATGTCTGTATGTGATTAGTTCAGTTCAGCACCACGGCAGTGTGGACAGCTCCTGTCCGGCTATGACTAAACATCTGAAGCACAGCACCACACTCATTTTAGCACTTGTTACATCTCATTATGGCGATTTTTTTTTTTTTTTTTTTTTTTTTTTTTTTCAGCAGTAGTGTCTTTACATGAAAATGTCCTGCAGTTTGATAGCAGTTCTTTGATAGCATTGCATTAAAAGAGATAGCAGCTTGATTAAAACAATGCTATATGCATTGCAGACTGTTTATATATTTTGTTACTGCCAAAATTCAAAATGGAAGAGCATAATGCAAAAAGCAGTTTAAATCGACATACATTTCCTTGTGGTTCATTCCCATTTGTCCCCTTCCCAGTGTGCACTGGGGCGTAAGTAATTATGGTTGCGTTGTCTGACCATTTGGCAGTTTGGATTTTGTTGTCACTAGTTGGTTTCTGCTGTCGCATTTTTGGTATTCCATGCATGTTTGTTTTTTGTCACATGTTTATGTGATGAGTATTCATGTGTTGTCATTAGACAAGCGCTTTGTTTTCCAAAGGGAACAATTTGCTTAACATCTGATACAGCATCATCAGAAATATTTGTACTTAATCTAATTACAGATTATTTCATACTATTCATTAACATTGAAGTCCTGTTTTTGGCAAAAAGTAACTTCAATTGAATTTGTTATATTGTATGTTGTGCAGTTGCTCATTTTCAATTATTCACCTTTGTTGAGCTCATTTGATGAATCATTTTAAACATTGCATTTAATTAATACTATTGTTTGTAATCTGCTGTCATAATTGTATATACTGCATCATTTTTACAGGGGCAGGTTATTTAGCTTTACAGTGTTGGGCAGTGGACCAGAATTGATCAATCCACCATTATATTCACTGGCTGGTAAAATCATATCATAAGCATATGCACCGTATGAGTCCACACTGACAATGAAAAAAAAAAAAAAAAACATCTACAAAATTCATATTTTCCAATGCTTATAAATATTTGCTGCATGTCCCTTTATCTGTTTGTAACTCAATAATGCATTCCCGGAAAACATCTGGAAAGACAAATGGCTCTCCATGCTTGAATAAACCAAAGTTTAATATCTGTGGGCTAGTTTTATTTTCCTCCATCACGTACATATTATACGATGCATAATCCTGAGAAGACGTGTTAGAGGACCCTATATGAAATTATATTAAATAATTATATATAAAAATACAACTTTGAGATTTCAGCAACCAACTTAATTTAAAATATCAATATTTATTTCCTACTACGGCATATGCAATCTGTTTCAAATAGATCCACATATATAGAGAGACTGAGAAATCAAGTGCATTGCATTATCTTGAAATCTTTTAGCTTGCAACTCATCACATCAACTTACCATGGATGGATACAGTCCGAAGACAATGAGGAAAAGCAGGGGCTTTAATGCACCGAACAGAAGGATCATGCTGTCACGTCTCTATCGCACTTTTCTGGCGTTAATATCACTTCCTCGGTGTGGCAGATGATGCCAGAAAAGAACAGGGCGGATTGATACACATTCATTACCGTGCAGCTCCACCGCGCGAGTTCCCGCGTGCAGCCAATACTGAGCGCGCGCTGCCCAAAGTTACGACCGCACGCGCATGAGGGTTCAGCAGACAGCGCGTGAGAGCATCCAACACTACCAAGGCGAGCTTAACAGCGGATGTGACATCATTTGATTATTCCAAGCGTTAACTTGTTGAGCAACGGCGGCGAGTGAATGCAGCCACTGTACCGTTCCAATGCATGCAACACTTGTGAGCTGAAATGGTCAGGCTGTCAGTGGTCGCATGTGGTGATTGGAGCAAATGTACACGGCAAAAGTTCCACCTCCAATGTATACGCTACAAATATTAAAATACCGTTGTTAGGTTTAGAAAAAGAAATGTTTAAAAAAAATGAATACAATAATAAAAATGTAAACGTCTTTACATTTTAAAGAGGAAATGTTAAGTGCAGTAGGCTATTTTTACATTTGTAATTTAATGTAAAAAATTAATTTAAAAAAAAGAAAAGAAAAGCTACCTAAACTGTAACTTACCTTAAGCATAGGTGGCTACTGTAAAAATTCTACGAGATTTGATGGGATAACATGTAATTTTACTGTACTGTTAATAGTTTAGGAATGAAATGCCTGAAATAATTTATAGTCAAAACATTTAATTCATGAATACATGTACTTTTAGTGTAAAATATTTTTTAAAGTTGTTGGACTTTTACAGTAAAAGGATGTTCCCAGATGTTCCTGCTTTATTTGATTATTATTTAAATAATTATGTTCTTTAAGTTATGAACATTGTTGTTTTATGCACTGTATCAGTTAGTCATGGCGGCGACATATTTTTCCATTACTTTAACTCATCAAAAAAAAAAATATATATATAAATATTAAATAATATGAGATTCAACTCTAGTGGCAACTCTAAGTCAGTTTAATATCATTTAAATGAACTGGGGAAAAATGTTGAAATGGCTTCTACAGCCAATTTGATTCTTGATCTTGATCTTAAGGCAGAAACAGAACTTATGTTTTTAAGTGGAAGTAGGTGGACATTTTTTACAGCGTGTTGCATTTCATGTTATTTTTAGCTTTTTTTATGAGATTGAAGGCTAGAAATCTACACGTTTATTTGTCATGGCTCATGGAAAGGTTAATTTTGATGAACTTTAATTCATCATGTGGCCTATATTAACACCCGCCTTATTAGGGTGATTGCTATAAGCAGATTTTAGTTCAAGTACGTTGGTATATAAAATAATAATGTTAATGAAATAGATGTAAAATATACAGTTTCAATGTTTTATGGGAATGTTCCATAGACATAACAAATTTTATACTGTACAAATAGTATATTCTGTCCTCTAGATTTATACCCAAAACACAACCCTCACAGAAAACCTTCTGCATTTTTACATTTTCAAAAAAACATAATTTAGTATGATCTATAAGATGTTTTTCTTATGGGGATCAAAAAAATGCCCATTGAGGGGACATTTTGTCTCAACAATGTAGGGTTAACCAGGATCACACACGGACAGAAACATAATATAATATACAGCATCCTGAAGTTTTAATGATGTATGCAAAATAGATACTGAACACCTTCCCAAACCACCCACATCTGTTGAACTGATATCCATGAGGGAAGTCTACATGAGATTCATTGAGGCAAAGGTGGTTGCTCAACACACCTACTGCCAAGATATTTTTTTCAGTATGACACAGTGGGTATTCTTTAAAGACCTGGTCTAGATAACTACTACTTCCTTTCTTTTTTAGATGAATATAGTTTTTAACCATGCACCTTCATTTCACTCACTTTTTTTTGTGTACATTTTAGGCTCATCTGTTAATTATACAGCCAACATCATACTTAGTCCTTACTCTGGTCTCATGTAGAGCATGTAAAAGCTTTCCATGAGTGTTAGCAGCTTGGGTAAGACAGCAGCACCAATTCAAGCTAATACTTATAAATACTAAAGCAGTTAGGGAACGAGAGCTTATATGAAGTGTGTTGATTTGCTTTCAAGCTCATATCCTGAGCGGTATTATCTTATGAAAAGTTATTGTTTCTCTAGTTAATGAAATAATAAAAAAGTTATGAAAGTTTTCACCCGTACATGGTAATGGTTGTCAGATGATTTTGTTCACACACAGCAAATCCTCATCGCGGGCAAATTATGCTCGGCAAACAATTTGAGTTCATCTCTGGCAGAGCGTCTTGTTTGAGGATGGTAAATTGGAGAAACTCTCATCCGGCGTTTATTTGCACATACAGCCTTCTGTGAGAAAACAAAGTCAAGTGTTTGAAAATGAGCTTTTGTTGAATCTTTCTCTGCATGTTTATGTAAAACTTATTGTAATTTGCCCTTTCATATTTCGATTGCATTATTCATGAGTCTATCAGAGGACTTTTTACTTTTGCTAATGATCAGGAGATGGTATTGCTACTTTCAAATTCACCTCCTTACTTTTGTACACTCTCATACTAATAAGGCAAGGATGTCGGCTCTCCTGGTCTGTGTTTCACTTGGAAATGTGGTGTTTTTTGAGAGTAGGTGTGCATGTGTTGTAGTCAAGTGTTAATGAGCCATCGAGCACCTGAGCTTCCCACACCACCTCACCATCGCATTAATCTCACTTGCCCTCCTCGATCTTCTCTTGCTCACCCATTCTCCTTTCCATGCGACTTGGCATGGCATCTTCTTTTCTCTTTCTTATTTATTATTGCTTTACTCAAGAGTTCAGTTGTTCAGCAACACCTGGGGCCTGTACCATGATGGTAGTTGAACAAACTCCGGGTTACAGGATTAGTTTTGAGTTGACAAAACCAAACCAATCCAACCAAGCTTTGTTGGAACCATGATGCTGATCATCAACTTTCTCTGTCAACTCAGGCTTTGATGCTGAGTTTAGGAGTTTAGGTGTGACATCAGTAGCGAACAGCCAATCACATGCTGAGAAAGAGTGAAAACTGCGATTCATTTCTCACGAGAGAAGCAGCGCGATTCACTTCTCTCTTCTGCAGAATATTACGAGATTGAAAAATATTAAGAATTTAAACAAATTTACGCAGCAAGAAGAAAATAGCTGTCTATGAAAGAGGACCGCTAAAAGAAAAAGTCTTGCCATATCAGTGCAAGTAAAAATTGTGAAGTTAGTTTATACAGTTGATAAAGGTATTGAGAGAATTGAACATGTAGTCATTTTATAGCTTAATCGGTTGATTCTAAAGCGTATTTATATTACCTTTATTTATTCCTTTAAACTGTGCATACAAATAATTGATAAACTAAAATTGTATGTGTGATCGATTAATAATTACATAAATAATATCTAAATTATACAAAATTATTATTCTAAATAAGCGTTACTAAAAGCCAGACGATTTTGTCTTTAAAAAGCATTTGCTATGTAGTGACCTTTAATTTGGAGTAGAAACAGGTGGAGTGGCTTTATCCTTTGCTCACAGCTGATTGGACCAATTTCGGTTTGAGATCTCTTACCTGGAACATAACCTGCCCCGGACCAGGTTAGCTGTGGAGCGTAAGTTACTATGGCGATGAACCAAACCACTTTCATGGTGCCTAAAACCCAGGGTTGGCGCAAACTAAACTGAAACATAGCTGGCTAGCCACCTAAACCGGCTTCATGGTATAGGCCCCTGCTGATGGCTTTCATTGGCTCCGATATTTGTGAGTTTCTTAGTATTTTGTTTTACTAAAAAGCTTAAAGGCATTGTCTTGTCTGGTGGTTCATTACAATGATCCGTATACAATTATATTCGGTCTAGTCTGCACCTGTTCTCGTTAGTCCCTGATTAGTTTACCTTTCTCCACCTGTGTCTAGTTAGTTTCCTCATTTCCTCCTGTGTATTTATCCCTGTTCTGTTCAGTCCCTTGTCGGTTCTCGTTTATGTTGAGCGTGGTTGTGTCTGTCCTTGCACACATTGAGTTAGTTTCACATTGAGTTAGTTTCACATTGAGTTAGTTTCAATAAAAAACTGTAGTGACCTTCATCTTCGTCTTGTGCCTTTAACGGCCACAACAGCGTTACAGTATTGTTTTCCTGGGTCAGAATTAATCTTGTGCGTCATTCATTAAAGAAGTCCTATTATGCTTCTTTTTTACACTATCTTTAGTGTGCAGGCTTTCTTTTTGTTCATGCAAATGGTTTGCAAAGTTACAAAGCACAAATACACTCCAAAGGGAGTTATTCTCTATATCAGTGTGAACTGTTTCTGAACTCCCTCAAAAGCCTCAATTGCAGTCTTGAGTTTTCATTCAGGAAACATATGTCACACTCACAAAATTCCTCATTTAAATAATTCTCAATTTAAATAGTTGCCCAAAGGCAGCACTAAAAAGAGGCGATGCCTGGTTGAGTTTCGGCTGTGTTTAACTCCACTTTTAGACATACTCTCACAAACTTCCCTAAGCTCTTCCCCTCAGAGGAATCCCCACCACCATTTTGAAGTGCGTTCAACTTCGCCAAGTGGGTGCGGGAGGTTTATTTGGACAGACCCTCTACTCCTCGATTTTGACAGAGGGAGCGAGTCTGCTCAATATGTACTCTTCAGGCAGATCCATAGACCACAATGCAACACGATTGTGACGTCACAGCAGATCGGGCTTAATTTACCCCAACACGACTCTAGTATATGAAATTGGAGTTATTTTCACATTTAAACGCATAATACTTGGTTGCTTCCTTAAGCTGATCGTTTTTTTCAGTCATAGTTTATTGCATTATTATAATTGTTGTTTTTTAAAATTGTGAATTTTAAAATTAATTTTAAAATTAAAATTGTGTAATTTTTTTATATTTTCTTCAACAGCCCAAACATGCACGCAGACCTTGTAAAGGAAAGTAAATTTAGGACCAGTAAAGGAACTTGTGCAATGTAAGCAATGACGTACATCTGAGTGAACGAGACGGATGGAAGTTAGCAAGGGAAGGGCATTAGTGTTCAAAGCTGAAACTCGCTGTTATGCGAGGGGAGAGATATTTACAAAACATGCTCGAAGTGGTCGACCAATCACAACACACTGGTCAAGCCAACCAATCAGAGTGCATTGTGCTTTTCAAAGATGGGCTTCATAGAAACAAGAACTAAACAAAGCGTTACTGACAGACTGGGAACAGAGGTGCTGCAACGATGCAAAATATGTGAAAAATATATATATTTTTTTTTACATTTAAGCATGAAAGCCTCTTCTAGTAGGCCTCAAAAACAAGACTTTG